TTTGTGCGTATGCAACATGGTCCTGCGAATGCTCGTTTATAAATTGCTCTTTTGACAGTTATAAATTCTCACCTTTTATCTGATCCACAGGAGACCTCAGCAGCTTGATATCAGTATGTATTACATATGAGTGTGAGAGCAAGGCAAGCTGTTTTTTTTTTTTTTTTCCTGGCAATTCATGGTGGGGTGCTGGTTTAGGGGAAAGAATTGTTTTCAACAGCGTAACTACTTCCCTTAGCCAGGGAGTTGAACCCATTTGGGTAGAGCGATCTCCGAGTCCCTGAGAAGTGTCCTGCATGCTCTGCTGCCAGGGGACTGGAAGCAGAGCCATCATGTCCCATGACTGCTGTCTCTGATTGATTGGCATGTCACTAGCACAGGAGAAGGTGAGAGGAGGGATGACAGTAACCTCTCCTCTCCTGGGGTCTGAGGGACCTCTGTAAAGAGGTGGCCGAGCACAGGCTTTGTGTTGGGGGGTTGCGCTGCTGGCTCCTGGGCCGGATGTTGGTCATTCAGTGGCAACTTCCCAGCATTTTAGTTATGGCAGAGTCTTGTCAACTCACCTCATTTTCTTTTCCCTTACCGTTTCTTCATGTAACTGAGCAGCCCTAGTGATCAGCCAGGAGCCAGAGGAATTTAACAATTTCTGTAGAGCTTTTGCAGAGCTGTTTGATTGCTGGTGACAAAGAGCCCGCTCCTGACAGCGCTACCAGTGTAGCTCTGCTATGAACAGGGTTTCCAGGGGAGGTAAATATACTTGCTCTTAAGACTTGCAGGATCCAGGAAGCTGTCAAAGCCATTGACATAGGTCTTTCAGCCAAGATCTCTAAGCAGCCCAAGTACAGAGGTCCCCCTGGGGTAACGGACTGTCTTCTTACTGTTTTCTGGTGAGACTATTTTTCTTTCATCTGGCACTGTGCTGTATGGGACAAATACCAATAGCTAGTTTCCAGTATGTCAGGAAGTACTTCAGATTATAAGCACAGGAAAAAATATCTGTAGAGAAGAAAGAGAGTTTTGTGGAAGCCATATGATTGTGTTTTGGAGATGGTCTGCTGTGTCAGCAAATTTTAATGAATATTGCATTTTGCTTTATTTATAGAGCAGGGTGACTACAAGTCACTTTTCCACTTTTCTTTGTATCTGCCTGAGACAAAGCCAAATGTTTTGAGGTAATAAGTATTATACATGTTCAGTAGACAGTGTGCCATCCCACTCACTTTTTTACTGTAAAAAAAAAAGCTCTTTAGGCTCGTGCCCACTACTCTTCCAAAATAATTTAACTTGATTTATTTCACTTCAAAACACCTTACAATAAAGTTTTCGTATGTTTTAGCTAAAGCGAATAATTAAGATTTCAAGCCTGGTTTGTCAGAGAGTGACTTGCATACTAAGTCAGAATATTGGAACAATAGCGTTATTTAAACAGGAAAAGACGTGGTCTTGATTTTCTTGTAGCTATTCTGAGTAAAGTTTGTATGCACGCAAAATACTACATAGCTCTGTATTTTTACACTGACATCTACTTTCTAGCATTCTCTGTGTGATTATATAAATATATATATAGATAGTGAATAGAGATTCTTTTTTAAGGCATTAGTCTCGTGAAGCTAGTGCAAACGACTTCTGGTGGTGGAATCCCCCTTTAAAATAGTTTCCCATTGAAGAAAACTATTCTTAGCCCATGACAGTAGGGGCCCTGTACTTGCAGCTTCAAATAGTAAAAGTATATTGACTGCACGAAACAATTTCTTTTTTTTGTTTTTAACATTAGCTATGTTGCACATCAAGATGTGTTCTGCTTGTGGTGTGTTATCTCTTACATACGCAAATACATTTTTATGTAGGCAAATCGGTAATTTTCATGTACAGTGAGTGAAGTGGGTATAGACAAGTTTTTCTCTGAGTAGGACTCGGGCCCTGGGTTTAGAAAGTTTGTCACAAAACCTGTTTTTGTTTACACCTATAGATAGCAATTTTGGGGGGCTATTTCCCTCTTATCAGTTGAATAGTTGTGAATCAGGGTAGTGACAATTTCTTTTTTTCCCTCAGAGGCTATTCCTAGTTCTTTGTCTAGAATAATAATGAAGCTGTTTGTTAGTTTTATACCAACTCAGTGTATTCATTTGCTGTTAATAGTATTCAGTTTGTGGGATGTGAGAGAGCTTTTCAGTGGTCATGCTATTACCTTTTTACCCAACTACCTCATAAATTAATTAGTAATTTTAGTTAATGCCAGGGTGGCTTAGTCATTTTGTAAGTATTTTGAATAGCTGCAGGGATGACACAGTAACTTTAGTAACCAACCTTTACTCTTATTCAGGCTATTAACTCAAGTGAAAATGCACTGTGATGTTGCATTTTGGTATGCATTATCTCAGGTCAGAGATTCCCCGACACCCAACTTCATAAGAGTGTCAGTTACTAAGTGTCCAAAAAATGAATTGTGTTTTGTATCACCGTGATTGAAGAAAATATTAAATGGGGAGGAATTAGTTTGTGACATGACTGGCATTGTGTGACATTCTCTACTAGTATTTTTTATTTATTTTATCTCTTGGCTAGAAAGGGAAATCAATCATTTCGGGTTGAGAGATTCACAGATTTCAGGTGGGTAGCAGTTTGATCATGACTCATAACACTTCACAAAAGTAGCTTGCCAAGAAGATATATTCCGTAAAATTATGAGGTAACTGAGTTTGAGGTATAGCTGGTAAGGAAAGAGTTTGAGGTATAGCTGGTAAGGAAATCATTTTGACAGAAGAGCTCATAATAGTCCAGCTCAGGACTTTTGGTGATGGCAATGGAAAGAATCATCAATGTCAATCATCTCAAGTGCTTATGGCCTGACCTCTGGTACAGCACCACATCAGCAGGGACTGCTCTTTGCTGTGAAGATCCTGGGTAGGCAGAGAGGTGAAGACAGAAGCAGAGGAATAGCCAGCTGTCCACAGAGTATCAGTGAGTGATTGCCCTGTATGTAAAGCTATGGACCACAGGTTAGGACTTGCTGGTCTAGAAGTGAAATGCTTTAAACTTGAACATGTCGGCATTTTCCAGAAAATTAAATGCCTGAGAAACGTTTGCAGTGTTTCTCACCAATTCTGTGATGCTTAAGGGAAATCGGTGCTGCTGTGAACATGCAGCAGTTTTGCATGCTCGTGCAGTCAAATTATAACTCTCCTGCACAGAGATACATAGTAGGATGCTGAATAAAATAGCATGTGCTGTTTGCGGCTGAAGTTTCCAGAATTTATCAGCATTTTAATGGACTAATCTGGTTTTCATGATTCAAAAGAGCAGGCCCCCCTGGTAGCAAGCAGGACTGGTCATGCAACTGAGGGAAGGATGACTTAGCTTTTATCTGCAGTAGTTTCTCCTGACTGCTGGAGGCTACTGCAGTGAAGCTTCTGTTTTTGTTTTATTGGGCCAGCAAGGAGAAAGTATCAAACCAGATATCATTGCTGCCTTTGCTACTAGCTGAGAATCCCTGTTCAATTTCTGGACCATCCTCCCATTTTCCCGACACCTGTACGAGTGACTTGACTTCTTTCATCCTTCTCTCACCACTCTCTTTCTTAAGAGAATTGTGCTTTTGCTGTTGAAGTGCTGTGGTGCTGGACACAGGAGGAGAGAGCAGCTTTCTTGCTGTGTTTCCTCCGATGCGTAACACGAACCTGTGTGATGGAGGCATAGTAGCAAAGGCAGAAGTCACAGGAAGAAGAGCTGGTACAGAAGGAGGAAAAAGGGGAGTTAGTGAAAAAGACAGTGATAGAGGCTGAAGCTGGCTGGCACTTGGAAAAGAGATGGAAGATAAAAATCTAGCCATTGAAGGATATTCCTTTTCTGTTGTGGATTTGAACACAGCATTCCACATTTTCGCTAGTGCTCTTCAGTCTAACCAATAGGTCTGAAATCAAGCATTTCTTGTCTTCTGTCTAGGACTGATCCCTACTGAGGATGAAAGTCTCCTTCTGCTAGGTAATTGCTCTACTAGCTCAAGTGGCAATGTCTGCGACATGGCTGTAGATGACCTAATCCGACTGATGAATAGTTTAGGGATAAAGATGATTCCACATGTTAGAATAGCTGTATTTTTTCTGGGTGCTATGCCCTCCTTCCTCAGATAAAGAATTATACAAAGCACACGATGTTAAGTAGATTGATAAAGTCTGTACTTCTTCTAAGGGGGGAAAAAGTATGTGATCATATTATTCAAACAAAGCTGTAATGCATAGGTAGCAAGGAAGCTGAATTCAACTTGCACAAGCTTTCTGGCATTTTCTTAAATTCTTCTGGTGCAATATAATTGAAAAAAAACCTAGAAGTTCAGTTATGAGCTTCCTTGTACCCCCAAAGAAATGCCTATACATCAGTCTCTACAGTAAAGTACTGAAGGCAAAATGCCAGAAATAATTACATGAAGTACAAAGTAAACTTATTTTATCATAAAAAGAAAATTATAGATTAGCATCTGTACTTGTTTCTCCCTCTGTTTTTCTACACCCACTGCACCTTGATATATCTGTTCTTCTTATCTGTGGGTGTGTACCTTTTCTACAGCAGGAAGAGAGAAGTTCTCAAGGGTTTGGTGTCATGCAGCATAATACCTGCTCCTGCAGATCACACCATCTCTCCCCGAGTACGGAGTACAGAACTGCAAAATTTCTAACTTCTCTACAGCTTTAGGAGTCAATATTTAGTATTGACAAAATAAGCTGAGCACAGTCAAGCACTCAGATCTGAAATTACACTGATACTCTATTTATGTGAGTTTAGATTTTCACTCCGCTCTAGCATGAAGAAATCACTTTGCTTTTAGATCACGTTTTGCACGTGTGCAGATAAGCAGAAGTCAACAATATTTCAGGCATCAGCTGCCAACAGGTCAGCTGCTGCACAAATTGCTATCCTAAAACAGGTTAAACGGCAGTTGAGAGGTTTTTTTTATGAGTGTCACATCTAATGCTTTCTCTCTTTCAGTTTTATCTTGTCAGGGGTCAGATGGGAGTTATAATTAAAAGCAGGACGGATATCCAAAATAGGAAGGTTAGGGTATGTGTTGGCTGGAATCTCTGACCCGGTTTAAGTAATCACCTGCAGTTGAATTGAGACTCGGATGGGAAGTAGGAAGTGCTGTACTGAAGCTTCCTGTATAAATAAATGCAGCTTTCCCACAGCTACTGCATACAAGCTGTGACGTGCTTTTAAGATATAATGGCAGCATGCTCTTAATAGCAGGGAGGGGATTATTTATCCGAGTGGCAAAAGGGGAGGGAGACAAGTCCTGTTACAGTCCTGAAAAGTGTACAACTGTCAGATACACAGAGGAGAGGAAAAGGGTATGCAAGAGAAATCTGCCTCTGCCTCTGATTGTAAGCTACAGTGGTTGTGACAGTATGGTCCTTGGGAGCACTGAAGTGTGAGTGAAGCTATTGAAAAGTCAAACAGCTGGGAGTGAATGCTACTCTCCTTTCAAGGTATGTTGGAATATAGCTTTTTGTCTATTTTTTCCTTAAAAGCAAAAAATAACAAAAGCAATGGAAAGCCAACATTTGCTTATAGTGGAAGAAAACAGAAAATGCTTAGTTAACAGCAAAGGTAAGAAACAGTATGATTAAAGAGCTAAAATAAATGTTATATGTGATTTGGCTAAAATCTTTAACTGGGTGGTGCTTAGAGCTGAGACGAAAAGGAAATATTGGAGTCTAGACTGTTAAAGACACAGAAAATTACATAGTCATCAAGTACTTTCCAAAAGGGTGAAAATAGTTTTGTTGGTGTAACTTTTAAAGGAATATCTGCATGAAGTGTTTGAAAATGCTGCAGTATTAAGACATATCTCTGTGAAAAGCAGTTGCTAAGATGGCATACTATCAGTCATATATCTGCTCTAGCTTAAATATAAGAAGTCACTTCATACTGAAAACATATTTGATTAAGCTACAGGGAGTCTGAGTTTGAAATGCACAGATTTCTTCCTGGTTTAAAAGCATTTCTTATTTCTCTATATTGTGCAGCTCATATTGTGAAGGGAAAATATACTGATCTGTATGAGAAGTGTTAATGTACACTTCTAATCTGTTCAGGGTTTAGGGTTATGGAGTTTAAGTAAGCACGTACTAAATGTGCAATACATTTGTTTCCTAGTGTGCTTTTTTTTTTTTTTAATACTAAATAGAACAGAAAATTGCATGTTTACTGGTACGTTCGTACCGCTTTCTCTTTTCTCAGTAAGAGGCTTTCTCAGTACCAGCTGCTTCAGTAATAAAGATGTTTCACTCTGGCTTGTTATAAGGTTATTTTCTGTAGTACGAAGGTATTCTGCTTCCTACGTTTACATCAAATGTCCTCCTCCTTCATGGAGCAGTTTAAGTACTAAAATCCTTAAAAGGAGTATAGCTAAGGAAACAGCGTAATGTGACTTCCCATCCTCTTTATGAATAGACATTGAGTGCTTTTGAAGTGAATTTTAATGCAGATATAGGCCATGACTGAGATACTGCTGTGCAGCTTTACAGCTGACTGTGAGTAGGCACAGTAACGTGATATGCTTGGCTACTCTCAGACTGAAGGGCAAGTGCTCTCGGTTAAGGGCGAGCTTTGGGTTTGGAATACCAGTGTTTCTGGAAACAGAAGTTTCAAATTCATATCCTTAATGTATTTGTTTTGGAAAATATTTGGCCTGGTTCTCCTCCTGCTTAGGACTTGTCTGTGCCTGAAAATGTGAGTGGGTGTATGGGTTGTTGTCATAGTATGAAAGTGGCTTAAACTCTTCTCTCAGTGAGCGTGAGCTATGTTGCGGGGGAAAAATAGTACATTGAAAAGGGGATTGCTGTAGTTATGCTGTTGGAAACAATTCTTAAGGTTAATATGTTAAGAAGAACGTGTTTGCAGAGTGTCTAAAGCTGTGGTAAAGTGGGAGGTATTCCTTTTCAAAATAAACTGGAGGTGTTCCAGGGCCAAGCCAGTATGACGAGAATCAGACTCCCTTTGTCCCATGCATCTTACTGTATGATGCGGGTATTTAACACAAAGTGCTGTCTGCTCTTACAAGGGCATGGAAACCTCCCTGAGCTTCATGTAGGAATTGTATTTGGCTGTATGGTTTCTGTTCTCCACTTTGAACTGTACGCTGTATGCTCCGCATTGCCAGTCACTGTCCTCTTTCCTACAGATGGTGACATTTTAGTGATTCTGTTTGTGTGGAGCTGTTTCTCTCCAGTTAGGTTCTTGGATTGCACTGTATTGCCTCATGCTTCCTAAGCTTGGTAAAAATAAATAAATAAATAACCTGGAAGCGGTTACCTGACCTTTCCCTTCTGTTGGAGGAGGAAAATAGCTTGTCCTTACTACAGTCTTAGTAAGTTTAAAATGCAGCTGTGGAAAGAAGCAAGTCACTGTACAGGAAAACAAGCGGTGCTAATACTTAACCTAGTTCCCAGTTCATCAGTACGCTTCTGATAATATATATGGCCTAAGTTTGAGTCCTATGCCTGTAATATGCCCTGTTCAGACCTTGCGGGGACTTTTAGTGGTGAGTCCCAGTGGAGTATGTAGCTTGAACTTCTAAAGACTTGCTGTCCCTCTTCTAGGCCAGGGAGCTTTCTTAGATATGTCTGAAACTATGCAATGCCTATAGATCCCGCATATCAGATCCATAAATATCTCCTGGGCTGGTAGTATTGTGAAACATGAGACCATAATTACAGCTTTAGGCCTGTGGATGTCACAAGCGCATGTGAACAAAATACTGTGGCAGGCTGCCAGTGTTACCACAAACTGAGTCCACTGGACCTCCTTGCATATATCAAAGCAGACATTACCTTTATTTTCAGGAGGCTGAGGAGGATTCCAAATCTGTTCTCTTCCCCTGAGTGCTCCCCGGGAGGTGGGTATGGTTCCCCCCTCTCCGGCCAGCCTCCCCCTGCCAAAGCCAGGCCTTGTGTAATGCACTTCACAAACTTTCTTCATTACCCAGAACAGCCAAGAACAGTCTTATATTCATTCCATCTCTTAAAAATACTAATCTTCTTGTTTGTGAAGGGGAACAAAACAAAAAAGAACAGATCCCAAGAGAGAAATGATACTAAGCTTGACCTCCATCATTTTGTATTTCTGCTGAAGCAAAGCTGAGCTCCAGTGCTAGACTATGATCCTCTTCACTCATCAGAGAAGTACAGGTCTGAGGGCCATCCTACACTGCAAATTTGCCCAGTCTTGGACAAATATTTACAGAGGTGCTTGTGCCAAATAACTTTGTGCTGATCAGTAAGAAAATAGTGTTCAGTAAACTTTCTCTGTGTCTCTTGTAAATGGTTTCAGTTCAGTGGGAACTGAGTGGGCATGTTACAGTCATAAAATAGATCATTGCTAGCAGATATTAAGACACTCTTTAAAAAAAAAAAAAAGATAAGTGCTCAAATTACAGAGGACCTCATCCTGCACTTCCTACTGAAGTGAGACTTCTCCAACTCCTTGTTTTTCTGTGAGGAGCAGACCTGACTGCAGCAGTGCTGAATGGAAACTTGAAAGCATGAGAGCATGACTAGGTTAAATGAGTTGCAAGCACACTTTCAAAGAGAAAATGTAGCTATATATGAAATATTTTACTGATGCAATTTCTTGGATCTCTTTGCATATATAGATGCTTGCCAGCAATGACATAACTGTTCCCCATTTCTGGTCCCCCTTGTTCTGTTTTATTAAAGGGAAAAGGTTATGGTTTGCTCAAGGTCCAGGTGGTTTTTTACTGTATTTCTAGGGGAATCTGCTTAGCCTTTAAAGGGGAAAATCCCTTGGTTAATCACAGGAGTCAGACAAGTGCTATAAGTAGAAATGGCATCAGCTTACCTGATTCTTTGAATGTTTTTGATGCCTGCAAGCACAGTTTTAACTTGAGTGAAATTTGGGTCACTTGACAGTGGAACCTAAAAGTGTCCTTGCGCCCCGTGTTTCCATCAGAGTCAATGTTGCCTGAGTCCCAAAGACAACCAGCAGTAGCTACAATGATTTAAGCCAAGTGAATCTGGCTCAATCTACAGAACTGTTAACCTCCCTCAAGTAAGGCAGTTTCAGGGATGCTGTATTCAAGGGACTCTTTTTTTTTTTTTTTTAAGTTCTGTTTTATATAAAACTTGGAGAAATGCTGTACCCTTCTGACAGACTTCGAAGACCATAAATAGGGGTAATAGAGTGAGTCAGAGTGGGACTAGGTATGAGGCTCCAGAACTCGGATAAGTCTTCTTTTGATGTTGACCTGGAGTTGATGTCACTAAGGATGGTGGAGTCAAGAGGTGCAATTTCTGGAAACGATAGCCAGCGCGTTACCTTGGAAAAGTCCACCTTGTGTGTGAGGGTTTATGCATGCTAGAACGCATCAGCATGGTGCTGTAACTGCTCATTTTAGACACACCAGGAATGGGGAGTTGTTCTATGCGCTGTCTTTTTGTCTGGAGGAGAGATGAGAGATGCTGATTAGGAGACATAAGCAGAGTACAGAATTACATTTTACCAGAAGGAGAAAAATACCATTGTACTGTCAGGGTCACATTCCTCCCCTTTAATTGAAAAGGTCTGTGCCTGTTGCAAGCTTTTCTACCTTTTCCTTTGCTGTAATAATGAGGAGAGGAGGGAAAGTGTAAGATGTGAGTCATTGCTCAAAGAGTGGATTCTGTCTGGGTGTCTGACAGATGCTTTGATATTCATGTTTGGTTGTACAAGATCTTCAGACTGCCAGTGAGCAAATATGCAGATCTGAAAACCTTATGTGCACTGTGTATTTGCAAAAAGGAGAAGGCATTGCAGTAGGAGAGCTGTACCCATATATTCAGGGGCTAAAATGGGTCCTCTGGGGCTGCCTTTACTTATGCCTTTATTTAGCCTATATTGCTGTGGCTTAGGGATGAATTCCTTGGTCTTGTGTATATGTAGCTGCAAATCATTGAAAACTACTTATTCTAAAACCCTACATACATGGAAACAAAAACACATTTAATAACAGCTGCTATATAGGCTAATCATTTACATGTGAAGAAAATTCCAAGATTAAGCAGCAACTGTGAAGCACAGGTTGACGCTGGTTACTTCTGAGTAGTGGATGGGAAGGTTCATGTGTTATGCCTGCATTCAATTTTGGAAGTGCTCTGGTGGGTGGAGGTGGGGAGAAGGTGAAGGAAAATGAGGTCGTCTTTTCCCCCCCTTTCCTTACCCCTGCCAAAAGAAGGTTACAAAGATGTAGTCACTACAGTTTTGGGGAAAATGTAGTCTTTTTTTCTTTTAGGGAAAACTGTCAGATCCTGTGGGCTGGCTATTTACTGTTGCGCTCAGTTGAGGCTCTTTGAGAGCGAAGGACTCTCAGCTAGCCACTGACCCTGGAACCCCTCCCAGTGGTGTTCCCACAGTACAGGGCTAAGGTAAAACTCCCGGGGCCGACAGGAACTTACTGAAGTTTTGCACAACTGAGAGGATGCAGTGTTGC